CTAGTCAGTTACAACCACTCTAGGCGACCAAAAAGCCATTGGTGGGCATATCAACAAAGGGTGACCTCCTGATTTTAATTCAAAGTAAACATTAAAAAATAGGCCCTTGGCTAACAAGTGTTGAAAAACAAGATCCATACTGTGTGTGTTATTTTTATGGGGGGGGATAGCTGTGTTAGAATGCAACTACACAGCAGGAAAAATATGGGATGATCTGTGATTAGCCGCTATGGACATCACGTTTCCCCAGCTGAAATTGGAGTAGCTGTCCAAAGGGCAGAGCGCTCAGTTTTCACTGAGCTCCAACAGCAGAGGCTGCTTGGCCAAGGTGTTAACGAGTGCTAATGGGCAATTTCCACCCTTTTCTCTCTCTTCTAAAAAACTTCTCCTAAGTGCTCTAGTGAAAGCCCGTTTTAGCACTGAACCGAAACCTCTTCTTCTTTTTCTAAACAAAAATTTTGAAGACAAGGGGTAGTCGGTTGAGGAGAACTGACACCCTGGGAGCACCCTTATGCTTTGGACCAGTCAATCACCGTGGCAGGAAGTGGACAAAAGCAGTATCAAACCCATCACAACCAGTTTAAGCCACCCCTGCCAGCCTAACAAAACAACAACCCAACGAGGACGCCTCACTCAAAACAGACGATTTCACAGCCAGGTATCCTGCCCTGTGGTTTATGCCACGTAGTGTCAGAATTTTAATCCGAAGATTCATCAGTGCCCAATCTAAGATAAATGGCAGGGAAAATGGCCACTGTAATTCTGTTACAGCAAAATTCATGAAGAGTCTTATGCCACCTTAAAAATTAGCAAGTGTTATTTGGTACAAGTTGTTGTGGACTTGAGCCAGAGACCTCTGAAGAAGTTAGAGGCATTCAAATAACACTTGCTAGTCTTTAAGATGACACAGGCCTTTGTTCCTTTTGAGGTACACATGTTTTCGTTCAATCTCTTCTTGGCCGAGGACCCTCCTTCCTTTCAGACCTGCCGTTCCATTTGCTCCTCGCACTCCGTTTTCATGGACTTCACAAGAGAATCCATGCGCTGCAGTTCCATGTTCTTGTTGTCCAGTTCCCGCCGCAAATGGTCGATGGTGATGCTGCTGCCGGTGTCCCGGTCCCAGAGCCGCTTATTCTGCTCCGTTTCCAGGCTGAGCTCCAGCTCCTTCTTATGTAGCTCGGCCTGCAAGAAAATCGTACATGTTCAGACTCACAGGGAGCGTTTAAAGGGAGCTGTGATCTTTAAAAAGCAAGGGAAGTCATCAAATGCACCGCCAAATTAATTTTGCAGCAGCGCAGAGACAGAAAAGCCACATACACACAAAATCTTGAAAGACCCATCTATAGCTGGAAATAAACAAACCAGAAATAACTTCCAGTGTTTCCAATCTACTTTTCAAAATATTCTCTGGGGATGCTGATGCTTGGAAATAAGACTTTGGTAAGCTAACAACATACGAAATGT